TTCAGTTGTTTTAGCCTGTTTTGGGCGGGCTGATTCAAGTCAAGTATGAAATGTTCATTGCACAATGATTGCATCAGGTACATTATATGTCAAATAACATGAATTAGACATGCGATGTAATCAATGATTCGTCATTCATAATTGTCTGAGAGACTTTCATTAATGTCAAAATACAATTGGTTGGACCTTCCCGACAAACATCCTCGTATTTCTTCTGCAGGTTGTAATCTTCCCTACCAACCTCTGCTTGGAGAGCACAGATCGTTCACGTCAAGCCGCCGCCGGACGCCTTCATCCTCCGAGACAACCGATGTCCCCCGGTGCTGAGACATCCGTTCCCGGTCCCGATAGAGCTGTGGGAAGGGGCCAGGAAGTGAGCCTGCGCAGTGTGCCTGGTTTGTACACCGTTTTTTTTTATTGAAACCGATAATTTATCTGTAATTTTCTTTATAGAAAATGATTATTTTTCTGTTATTGTTTCATATGAAACGATTATTTTTCTGTTATTAGTCTATATAGAAAATGATAACTTTACTGTTATTGTTGTATTCAAAACGATTATTTTTATTATTTTAAGAGAAAACGTTTTTAATTTTCTAAGAGAAAACGATTATTTTTCTGTTATTATTTTATACAAAACGACCCCTGAAGATTCCCTGACTTTTTCTCTGAAGACTACGATAAACGATTGGTAGAGACATGTGGCCAACTGAGGAAATTGGGTGCTGTTTTAATTCTCTAGAGGTTCCAAAGTTGTTGTTTTTTCGACGGCGTTGACGCGTTGAAGTCGTGACAATGGTAGTTAATGTGATGGCCGGGATGGAGCTATTATTACTCCGTGAAGGAGGTCAGGACCTCCGGACGAAGTGTTGTGAAGAGCTGATTTTTCGTGTTCGCAGTCAAAACACTGGGTTCTCTTTGTGTAATCGGCACGCAATTTTATACGCCGTCTGCGGGCATGCCCGTGTTGATGCACGAATGTGTATTTTTGCCGTTGCTGCTTTCGCGGTCAATGTAATATTGCAGACGCACCCCTACAATTACGAGGCGAATTGGAATGGTCCAGTAAAACGCGTTGTTTGGAATAGCAGTGGGGGGGTGGAACTTCATGCAGATACGGGGTGATTTTGATAAGTGGTTCCAGATGTTTTTGCCCATGGTTAAGAGATGGCAAGTTTTTTGGAAGATGTTCGCAGCCAAAACGCATTCCTCCGTACGTCGCATTTCTGTGTAATTTCGCATGTGATGTTGCATAATGTCCGGGATGATGCACGTCTTTTTATTTTTACCGTAGCTGTTTTGATATTGGAGTAAATGCATATTTTAGAAACATCCCTACTTTTACAATCCTGTGGAATAGGCCGTAGGTTTAGGCAGTTGTCTGGTAGCAGAGGTTCTCCAAGCAGATATCCCGGGTATCTGACCGGCGGAAGTAACACTCGCGGTGCTAGCCGCGACTGTTGCTGGAATTTGGTCTGTCCCAGTCGCGCTTAATAAGTAACAGGCACGGTAAGACGGTGTCTTCGTTAATAGTGACACGACCATGATAGTCCGATCTTTATGTGAATGCAATGATTGTGTGTGTGTAATCAAAATGAACTTCAAACTTACTTGAAGCACAGTATCTTTACACGCCCTGGGAGCAGGAATGGATTTAGGTCTTTTATGTTATATGCTTGTGACGCGCCCTCATTGTATTAACCGTTGCCTAATTATAATGTCTGCACAGTAGGTCTGGCGTTGACCCTTGGGATTGTTTTTGTTGAAATATATAAATCTTCACGGAGGATTGTCACCTATGGCTTCTTGTTCTATTTTGTATGCGTAGGTTTTGCTACTTTGTTGTTTGTTTTTATTCAGTGGTGATCCTAGTGAGTTTATGTGTGAGAACAGTTGTCCATTTTGACAGCATGGGCCGTGTGAGTTTGTCTGTACTGTACATGTATAGGTTGACCCAACCTATGTTCTGGGTCAATGTCGACGTCGCCAGTGGTTGCATTTGGTTGTCAGGTTGAAACTGTTCAAGGGGCACATGTCTTCTTCTTTTTCAGTGTACATGCAGCGACCCTCGGCCAAGAATGATCATAACGGGGCACAGTACGGCCAACGGGCACCGTCTCTTCCCGGCGTTCCTGATCCGGGGAAGCTGACCACTGATGGACCTGACACGTCAGCCACCCATCCATCTGGCCCGGGATGTACGTCCCCGGGCACTTTCTCTTCTTCCCTTGCATTAGGGAGCAGACACCGCCCGAGACCGACGTGACGGCAGTTCCCGGCACAGCCGATGCGACGAGGCTGACCTGAACGTGCTCTTCGATGTCCAGTATAGGGACGCAAAAGACAATAGAGTCTGGATGATCGATACCAAATGTTATAATGTCTGAAGACATTAGCCAGAGGACCACCCCTGACCAAATTGTTTGATTGTCTGGATCCATCATATGTCCTAGTACAAGGACAGTGACAACAAAACATTTGAGCATAAAGAACGACAGTCATTGTAACAACAACTAGTTCAATTGTATCGTCAATTATTTTATTACGTTTGGCTTCTCCAGTAGCCAGGCTTTGAGACTGGAGAATGATACAGTCTATATTGTAATCGAAACTGATTGCTGTTATTCAGTACATCCAGTTATCAAACTAACGAGTACAACGGCCATATAAGATTTGTCCAATGATTCACTGCTATATAATAATATCTTAAATACAAGGGAGGCATGTATGGTATTTATAGCAGGACATCTGCATAGTTTTTGTACAATATCCAATGATCATGTGCAACAGGAGTTCCCTGGCTCTACAGCTGTAATAGATGACCTAGTACAGGTGTCTCCCACTGCAAGGTCAGAGGTCAAGTCTAAAAGTCTTGACCAAAGCAAGTCTCTGTGTCATTCCTCAGTTTGTCACTTCTTAGAGTTGGGTCCTAGGTCAGACAAAAAAGGACTATTCTGTTATGAATGTTAGACAGGACAGGTTTCAGGATGCTTAATATTCAGATGGACAAAATCACATCCCCCAACTTCATCTCATCAATTGAACGTACTAACCCTGTACTTGAGGACAATCTGTCGTCCCTAGCTTCGGCCTCCGACAAGATCCACAAGACCACCCCACTAATACCAAATCTCCATGCCATTTATCCCACCTACTGACCCTGTACTTGAGGACAATCTGTCGTCCCTAGCTTCGGCCTCCGACAAGATCCACAAGACCACTCCACTAATACCAAAGCCTCATCATCTCATCATACCAAAAAAAAAAAAACCTTAGGTCCGCCATGTTTCCTTCCCGTCATGCTAAGAAAATTACATTGAACTTCAATTGCAAGTGCTAAACACAATCAGCGTATATTACGCCAAACGCCATCGCCTCTATACACTCCTGCCAAAATGAACACACAACCAGGTAGGCTTTCAGTTACTGCTCTTTCCAAACATACCGCTAGGCGTCGTCCTTACACTGTGGTCCGGTGACAGGTCCCACAATGCACTTCACTCAACTTTGGCCTGCCCCATTGCATGACGGGAAACAAAATGGCGGCGCCCATAAAATCGAGGTAACGTAGAACAGGTTCCGCTATCGCGAACCTGTAATTTTACAAACAAATCGTATTTACCAGTACCAGATTGACCCGAATACAAGCTACAAAGAAACTTACCAACACCGACGTCATGATCGATGCCGCTGATGTTCCTTTTGAGTGAATAAAGCGCACAAAATCCCCAAAACAATGTCTGCAAACTGCAAAACTCCGATACAACTCCAAAACAATGATTTCAAAAATGGCGGTTATGCTACTGACTGCGCATGTCCGGTAGCCTCGTTTTGGATACAAACATGGCGGCG